ATCATATGGTATACAAACAGAAGGAGGGATTACTGATGGGCCCAATGCAGCTGGTGTCCAGGGCCGTCTTGACTGAGGCTCCGTTGGTAAGAGAGGACATTTGGATAATTAAGGCTGTATGTGTGTTAGTGTGTATAACTTAAAACCATGGTGGTCAAATGTCCCTGGGCACAGGGAATATGTGTGTACATTTAACTCAGGGTGGATGCCGAATTTTATAATATAATATTAACTATATTTTTTATGTTTATCCTAATATTTTATATTATAAAGTATGTAGACTGCAAATATGTGACCATATTTCACAAATATGCACTATCCCAAAGGCACACAGATGTGATAAAAATACACAGTTATATTGATATTGGGTTTGGCTGTGTACAAAATGAGAGTGAGAGAGGCCTCCTCACCCCACATCATGGTTAAAAGACAGACGTGTATAACATATAGTCTGGAGGTATAGCACAGTAAAGGTGGGACCTGGTGTGGAACTCAAACAGCGCTCTGTTACGTCTTATCCCCTAAAAACTCTTTCGTCATTCTTCTCATCTTCTTACTTAAGTTTTATATAAGATTGGATCTGCTCTCACAGGCTGTAACACTTTGATTTGTGTTTGATGAGAAAATGCTCACTTGGACCTTTGCAATGTGTCAAACATGCTTCTCTACTTTATTTTTTATATTTTGTTTTGATAGCTTTATACACTTTCAGCTCAAGTTTATTTTTTGTTCCTTTTTCTGAAAGCTTCTCGAAGTGTGAATGGACCTGACTTTGGTTCATTTTGATAATGAGACCCTGATGTGTGCTGTGTTGTGGTACAGACTTTCAAGAAGGTTAGCAGCCCTGTATGAAAGACGGAGATCTCACATAATATGTCAGTGTATTATAATGCATGTCTACATACTCATAATCAGTGTTAATAGCAATATTGTATTTAGACTCTCCAACAATCATCATCAGTTATTGGTGCAATTTTCCATTATCAGTGAATATATTCACATGTATTCTCTCAATAGAGTATCCATTGGCTAGAAAGGTAGCTAATACAATATCATTCTCACTACAACTCTCTTTATGGGTCTCTGGACCTCACTTTGAGACAAAACCCACTCTATACACCTGCATTATCGTAATATCTGTATCAAATACATGCCTTCAAGCCCCAAATGCCTTCTTTACTCAATACCCTTCACTTCTCCCTCATCTCATCCCCTCCTTTTTTCCTCCAGTGCCTCTCCTTGTACCTGTTTATGTTGGACTACCTACTGATCCAAAAGTAGGTGGACCCAGTTTACCTGGGCGCCATGGTTACAGAGGAGAGCAGACTTTACCTCAGACCAGTGATATCCAAACCAAACTGTTGGTGTTTCCTGGTCTTTGAATGAATTGTTTAATGAGCAGTAAAATGTCAGACATTCAGTACCTGAACGGAGACCTTTTTTCCATAATTTCACCTCACTTACTCATTCACTGGCCCATAGTATATTCTCCTGCATGCTACATAACAAATCCCAAAGGTCAAACTTACTGTATAGCTCTCTGTGCTCCGCTCTGACATACAGGTGGGGAAGGCTATGTGACCTAGATCTCCTGTCTTTTTCCTGCTCCGTCTCTCAGGAGCGATGAGAATAAATTCACCACTGAAGGGTTTGTGCAGCTGGTCCTCATTGCAGTCCTCCTTCTCCAATCCCCCACATCTCTCTTTTACTGTTACTGCTTATGTTTTTAGTTCAGAATAATCTCTATTACTGCAAGATGTCTCCTATGAAAGGAATTCTAAAAAGCAATGCCCACTTTTCAACATGAAGTTTCACCAAATTGTATGAAGTGATTGCTGTAATAAAGTTAATTGTGAAATGACACAACTTACTTTGAGTGGAAAGACTTAGGTTTGATGACAGCGTGAGCATAATAAATAAAAGGCCTTGGACGCTTTTGAAATGTAAGTTGAAATTTAACCCTTCAGATGATTTGACAAAGCTTATTACGTTTTTTCCTTAAAAGTTTGAAAAATGTCTTTGAAAGTGAAAAGGAAAAAATGCTGGACCTTTTTGGAAACCGAGATAGGACATGAATAAGTTTTTCCTGCTGTGTTCCTGTAAGACGAGAATGGAGAGAATTTTCCAGAACTGTGAACCTGTGCCTGTGTCCCTAACACTGCTGACTGATCTGATGTTACTGTAACACAGGCCAGTGGTGGAATAACAGCTGTTCACTTCATACAGGTATTGAGAACACAGCTGGAACCAGAGGAGGCAAAAGCAATGCAACTGATACACAATCCATTTCCACATTTCAACAATCACTAAACCATGACCATGTTGAATGAGTCTGGTGTTAAACTTAATCTCAACATTTACTCAAAGTAGAAGAATATATATATGGTCTAATGGATTGACTCACTTTTGTAGCCACCCTCAAGTGGTCGTTGAAGGAACTGCATTCCCTGGATTCATTTACAGCCATGGAGGTTGCCACTGGATGATGGCCTGTCTGAAATGTCTGAGCTTTTTACCACCATCAATGTACCACACAGGAGACTTTTCATATCTATCTTAATCAGTTTTTAAATCTCAGCAAGGACAGTTTTTTCTTCCTCTACTGACATGAATCAAAAACAGCCATCAAATCAAATCAAATGCAACAATCATTCATCCTATCAATTGGAGCAGAATCCTAAAACCCTTAAAAGAAGTTAATATTTGGCGTGAGGGTAGTGCCCGAGGAGAAGCCATGTTCTCATTTGAATTAAACATGTTTTTCTTAGTATGGTACGGTCATGGCATGCTTTGAAAAATGGTGAGCAGTAATGTCAAATGTATATGATTTGCAGTAAATGGGCTAAAACATGCAAACACACCATTATGGTTGTTTGAAGGTCTCTAAATGTAGAACCAAAGGTCAGTTCTCCTCCCTGATACAGCACAGGCAGCCTTTACATAAATGTTCTCCAGCCTGTGGTAAACACATTTTTGACTTCCAAATGCACACAAGCCATCAGGTGTTTGTGTTTCATTAGGTATGAAAAGCCAAGAGGAGTTAAGCTTAGTAAAGGAGACTCAGTGGGAAGTGGCTGTAACCTGAAGCTGCAGGAAATGGAAGTAAGAAAAGCAATAAGGTTATGTGTGAAGGCACAATGAAAGAGGCAAAACAGACTGTAATTAATGTCACAAAATTCAGTGGGTGGACCATCACGATGGTCGCACAAGATTAGTTTGAGGTCATTTTTACAACAGGGCTGCTTTAAAGATCCGCTTGAGCATTTGGCTCTTAATTCAAGAGACTTTTGAGAATCAATTTTCAGGTACTTATCTCTGGAAAAAAAAACAATAATTATAAGGGTTTTTCAACTATATTTTCATATTTCCAAATGCACATGTCCAATCATTGTAGCCAGGCAATGTGGAAAGCTGAGGAAATTTGGGCATGAGATCAAAATCAACAGGTCTGGATTTGTTTCCCATAGACAGAGTGCAGCGTATGTGAACCTGCACTTTATATATGTCAGAGGTTAACTAGAGCTTTAGCTGACAGAGGTACTGCTGGTGGAGCTCCCCTGTTGAATATGAGCAATGAGAGAGAAGCATAGAGATGATATTTTAGGTTGTTATAGTACAATACCATACAGTCACTGACACTGATTGAACTGTATGTGAATGAAGGCCTGCACTGTAGTCCAGTCTTGTCCCATTGACCAGACTGGAGCACTGCAGCTCTGAGCGGCGTGCTGGTGATCCTTCTGTTATTTCAATGGGGAAATGTCAGGATAATGTTGTTTTTGGCCTGCAATGAAGACCAGGAAACATCTGACACACACACACACTGATGTTTCTCTGTGAAAATTCCCACAGTGCTCTGGTAGTTTTGTTTAGTGTCATGTGTAATTGGGTTTAGATAACCCTTCTTTGGTGATGCCTTTTAGTATTTATGTTGGAGTTGGAGCACAAAGCCTGTCGTCTGCCCTACAAGAAAGATACAAAATCATTAGATGGTGGCTAAAATAATCTGAAAGCTTTGGAAAAAAATTAACACTTGATTTCAAGATTTTTTTTCTCTCTCATTTCTCATTTGCTGCTCAGTTTTGTTACATAAGACGTGATTAACATGGTGTGAACAATAAAACTAACCTCAGTTATATAACAGAGACTTTGAGCAGCAGTAAAAATTGCCCGAGCTTGATTCTTCAAGTAGTTAACTTGGTCATGATCAGATAACTACACTAAGCTGTTTAAGTGAAGCAAAGTAAGGGGGGAAGCTTTTGCTAATGTGGGTGAAAACTGTCAAAGTGTATAACTGATCACATCCATTTCCATTGTAAACATTTAATAAACAAAGCTGTATGTAAAGTTACCAAGGTTGTGTGTATTTCCTTGTTCATTTAAAAAAAAACTCTGCATTTGTGAAGTCATATCTTAAATGAAATGTGGACAGAAACTAGTTGAAACAAGTTGTTTTGCTCTGCTGTTGGACAAAGTGGTCAGTTGGAGGCGGCTTGTTGGCGCTGTGTCTGTCCGGCTGAAGTCATGTCTGTGACTCAGTGTCTCAACGACTCTCTCTCCTCTTCCTCCATCATTTGTCCCTTCACTTCGTCATTCATCATTTGTTCCTACAATTAGTGTATTATGTAAAATTATAAAATAAACATTTTAATTGCATATGAACTGTGACCATTCTGTCTTGTATGGCTGATATTGAAATATCACCACAGTTAGAATTTAATAGGCCTGCTCTCATAGAGCGATAAAGCACTAAATAAATGGAAATTCCAGTTTGGTGGCAATTATTGTGTCTTTTATTGAGTGAAATAAAAACATGCTTCCAATTAAACTCCCATTTTCCCCTTGTATATCCAAACAAATGTTTGGTTCCCATGAATACGGGAGGGCAAATGCAAAATAAAATGTGTTCATCATGCTTACATACTGAGGTATTTCCACTGTTTTACTGTGTATGGCACTTTTGCATAACCTAGTATGTCCATCTTGTCTTTCAGATTGGAAGCCTGTCTCTGTGCGTGTGTTTGGGATGAAGCACCTGTGGGACATTCACTTCCTCCTGCTCATCCTCCTCTACCTGTTAGGAGCCGTCACATCACAGGTCAACCCAGGTCTGTGCTGCCATGGGAGGGCAAACTGCATCCCCCATTTCTCTGTGCTATGATTTAGGTGTCTGTACTCAAGTCTCTGACTGCAGTGAGATTATATTCAAGAGTTTGTGAATACTATAAAATGACTTTTGTGAGTTTTGGGTAGTGTTTTTGGGTTTGGTGCTCCAGTCCAGTCCAGACTGCGACTGATTCAGATTTTGGATAAGTGCTGTTTTGTGGGAGCCATGTGGTCCCCTCTCCCTGGTTTGGCCTCTTTGATCCCAGCATGCAAGCCTTTCTTCAGCTCTCCCTCCACTGTACGGGTGGTTTTTGTGATGTCAATGAAAAAGGACCAATAATTTTTTTTTTTTTTACAAGGAAATAGAGTAGCAACATTTGGTGGGCAGACACACAGTCAAATAGGAACCAAAGAGAGGTTTTTGGTTATTGTTGAAATTGTAGAAACACAGCAGATCTTTGCCAGTAAAAACCCCGATCTGGCTACTGTTTATGACTTTAATCTCAAAGCTTCTGTCATCAGGCTGAGTTTTCTTTATTGCTGAAAGGATAATGAATGGCATCAGATCTAAACAGTAATTAATGATGGTTTTGTCAAAGAAAGGTTCAACACAGAGTTTATAGGTCACACTGACCTCACGCTTCCAAGCAGTGTTTAAAAAGAAAGAAATAACAGTGGAAAAAACGCCCCATCACTTCCACATCCTCCTGCCTTGCTCCACACCACTTTAACTTTCAAAATAAAAGTTTTCACATTATATTCTACGCTGTTATACGACTGTGAGTCCAATTTCATTTTGAGAATGTATGAAAATAAAAACAAATATGAGGTCATGATGACAGGCCTGGGGGTTTCCTGCCCTCTCAAATGGAAATCAGTCAACGGTGCTGGAGGAAAACTTCAAACATCACATTTTTTTAAACCAAGCAAACAAAAAGTTAAGATTAAAAACAACTGTTGATTTTTAGAGTGTTTGCCTTGAACCGTACCTTGAATCATTCTTATTTTCACAAAGTGAGCCGCGCAGACACACCATGTGTAAAACCTGGCTGTCCCTGTTCGTCGTTCATTTGTTCTTTGTGCCAAAGCTAACAGAGTAAAAGAGAAAGAGCAGAGAGTTTTATAAGGAGTTTAAAAGCGAGGGAAGAAACAGAAAGGGTGAGTGAGATAGAGATCATAGGGAGCATTTATAGAACGAGTTTTCAAGTAAAATAGTGTGTGCATGCTGTGGTTACTTTCATGCGTATGTCTCCTTACATACATATATTAATAGCTACATTTCTGAGCCATTTAACCAGCTGTGAATGTAACATAGGATGTTTAAAACGTTTCACATTCTCTACAGAGTCTTAGATCTTGTACTATTTAGCATTCGGCATCAAAAGTTTTGACTGTGGATATTTTATGAGGCATCTTCTCAACCACATTTAATTAAGGATTTGACCCTTGTGGGAGTAACTTTCTTCGCTTGTCTGTCTTCTTACTGTGTCTTTGTGTGTGTGTTTGTGTGCCTGCTCGCATGCATATACCCGCATGCACACGCATACTGTGGATCCAGCTATCCCACTGGAGTCTGTGGCTAATGCATACCAGACATTCTGACAGCAGGAAAGTCCATTGAAATAGGCTCTGTCTTTCTCCCCAGCACTTGTGTGTCTGTGCGAGTGTGTGTGGTGTGCGTTTCCCAGTATTTGACCACTCATAAGTCATGGAAAGGACTCTTTGTGCATCTGATCATGGTCAAAGTTCACCAAGTTCACCATCCAAGACATAGTTTTGTATCTATAATCTGGCCCAAGGGATTTCTTCACTTAAATACCTCCAGCCATTATTTAAAAAAAATCACCTCCAGTGTCACTGAGAGCCCCAATCTCAACCTGCTCTAATATATGGAAGCAGGATAAATCCACCTATAATTCTGTCTAATGCTTTAGTTCTGCTGCATTGAGAAGAGGGTCATTTTTCCACAGTCTGGAAATATTCATGGCTGAATTTAGTAGAGCTGAGATGTTGAATGATGCCAACTTTCCCCTGTTTAAAATTCCCAAGCAATGGAGTTATACCATCCCTGTCTTTCCCATTTTACTCGTGAGTGGGCGAACTTTATTTCACTGGGGAGAGGGGGAGGAGGTGTGGACATGAGTGAAGGCCTGGGCAGAGCAGCCAAATATCAAGCAGTACTATTATTGTGTGGGTTTGTTCTCGCGGGGATGTTTAGAGAACGTCTTGAATGATTGAATGAAGGAATTAATTAATGTATTAGCTCTTACTCCTTGAATCATTAAAATCACGTTTCTACAAATTAACAGTTTAATTCATAAGCTCAATGCAAATCTTTAGCTTATTGCTAATTAGCTGGCTTTAGATAGACATTGCTGTGTTGTCGTTGATGATACCACTGTTGTATGACCATTTTATATAGCAGTACCTTTGTACTGTTATTGCGCTATGGTTGAGCATGTCACAAATAAACATTACAGGGTTTTATCACAAAGGTAAAAACACACTGTACCCCACCCAAAACACATGTTTGTTGTTTTGTGGTTGTGGTTAAAATCCGCTGGTAAAGCAACTGACTAAAATTTGACATGACAGTGGTCTTGTTTTAGATTCAGACTGAATTTCAGCTTCCCCAGGCATCGTTTGGAGGAGTGAGGACCGATCAATTGTTCCTGAATGGACATTGGACAATAGATAGATAACTTTCTAACATATCAGAGATTTTGGGGAGAAGATCGTCTGAAAGTGCCATGTCGAAAGGATGGACAGAAAAAATGGAGGCTGGTTGAGCTGTGGCAGAAGCATGTGTGACTCTTCGATGTTTCCTCTTCCTCCATCATGACTGATGACTAAAAGAAGGTCCATATGCACCTTTGGCAAAAGTTTTACAGCATGTAGTTTAAAGCAGTAAAACATACTTCCTTTGGCCACTTGGGGGCAGTAAAACAAGGCGTTAACACATTCTTCACTCATTACCACCTTGTAAGTTGTCGAAGTAAACATGTTAACTAACTGTTTCCTATTTATACATCTGGTAGATACAAGGAAAATGTGCATTCATTTGGATTTGTGTTTCTGGTCACCTGATGAACGGAAGTCAAATTACCCCTCTCTTTTTAGTTCTGTTTTGGTCTCACCAAACTTTAGCTGCTAAATGCTCCACTATGTTCAGAGCTGGGCAGGTAGTGTACAGTGGGTTTATCAGAGTTTCTTTGCTGCTGTATCTGGAAACGAGACTACCGGAAAACTAAAACAATGAGCTAAAAGGCACTAAAAATCTCCATAGAGCTGATCAGAGCTGCAGGTTTGCTTGATAATTCTCGGTGAGTTTGTCACTACAAGCAACCCCTTTCACATTAGATGTAGTTATTTGATCCATTGATAATAGGAAAATATTGATTTGTGCAGCTTTAAAGCTACTGACACAAGAGGATCTTGAGTTGTAATCCTGTGATTGATGTGTGTGCATCCAAAAACTGCCCTAAACAGACAGGTATGATGTAGCAGATGTGAACATCAACTTGCGTGACTACAGCGTGTGTGTGTGTGTGAATGTATTTGGGGCAGCGGTTGGACAGCAAACACTACAGAACAAACCTGCCTTTTAGTAGTCAGGGTGCGGTAAAAATCAAGAGGTGAGAGAGAGGGTTTGGTCCAGTACTCCTTCATCTCTCTCTCTCTCTCTTTCTTTATTCCTCCACCACACAAGGCTGGTATTTTTCCACCTTTTTCTGGGGTAATATTTTTAGATACTGTGGCCAAATGTTGAGCCTGATGGATGGTGGTGTGCGTGCGTGTGTGTGTGTGGTGGTGGGGGGTAAATCTATGTATGTGTGCGTGCGAACACACATATAAGCGAACACACCCGCCTGCCCCCATAGCTCACCCCATGGGTCACCTCTGAGTGGGTTGGGTAGGTAAATAAACACAGCAAAAACCAACATTTGGAAGAGCGGTCACACATCCGGCACGGCATACTGGAACCCGTCTCTCTGACTCTCTCGAGGATGTGGTTAAATACTCTGATAATGACTCCTATTTTCATCAATTAAGATCCCAGGGAATTGCTGTGTTTTCCCCAAATGGAGATGTTGTACTGTCTATGAGTTTATTGCTATATTTTTCTGGCAAGACCTCATAGAAAAATTACCTAACTTATGTCACCACTATACCACATGACATTCACATAATCACCCCAGCATTTTCACTCAGAGTGCTGAGTGGAAAAACTAAGTATGTGAGTAAGTATGTATGAGTGTTTTGTCTTTTTGACAAAGACAGTAAGAGGGAAAGTTAAGTGTTCATTTTGGCAGCTAATTTAGTCTTTAGACAACAATATTTCTTAGTTTTAGTCACATTTTTATTTTGATCTGTCTTAGTTTAAGTCTAATTTTAGTCAATGACAACTCAAAATGTGACGAAAAGTCTTTACACTAACTTTTAGTCAAAATGTTTTCTCTCCATAAGCTAATTCAATTAGGCTAAGACAGGTATCGGGAGTTTGAATCAAGGTGACAGTATCTGCACACGTCAATCAGTGACAGGGATGCATCATTTATACTTTGACAAGACAAGATTAGTGGTTCAAAACACTTTTTCTGGCAGAAGCTAAAAAAAGTTCACTATAATAAAAAAGGATTCAAGTGGAATAAACATCAGCACAATAGCATCAGTAAACTCTTATTGGTTTATTTCCCCTATATAAATCCTATTTATTTAAGTAGGTATCTCTATCTCTTAACTCTGTGCTCTGCTGTCTTCATCTCAATGTCTGTTTACACTCTACACTCTTACCTCTGTGTGATTGAGGCTCATGTGCTGCTCTTCTGGCTCTCACTACCTCAAACCCCATGACCTCTGGACCTGGCTGCAACACCGCACCAAAGACAGATACAACATTTCAGCTACGTGATGCCAGTTATTATCATTCCAGCTTTTCCACTTTATTTTCAAATACGTTCTTTGTCATGTTATCCTGCCCTGATTTGATTTTAAATCATTTACTGGAGACCTCTGCTGTTTCTCTTGAAGCAGGTTCTGACGATTAGTGTTTTACTACCGATATCATGCACACAGAGCACAGCGCCTATCATTAAAATGGTTTCATAATTATGTAGGCAAGGATACCGCTAATATGCTGAGAATATGAGAGGAGTAAGATGACTTCTGTTGATGTGGTCTGCTTATAGCCGAGGCAATCTGGTGCAAGGAGAGAAATAGGAGTGGGGTGTGTGTGTGTGTGTGTGTGTGTAAACAGTTGGGGATGAATGATGAGGGATGAAGTGAGGAGGGCAACATGGAACAAAAGTTAGAGAGGACAAGATGAAAGAAGGCAAATGAATACATCTGGAAGAGTTTTTGTTTGTGCATCCTTCAAGCTCTGTGTCACTGACAAGACGAAGCCTACGTGTGTGTGTGTGTGTGTGTGTGTGTGTGGTTGCACTGAATCTACGCCTGGTTTTTGTGTGCACAGACATGCGAGCAGTGTATCAGGTCATCAGCCCTGGTCCCAAACCTTCAGGGGTTTCCACATCTTGACTTTTAAGCAAATATTTGGAGATCAAGAAAAGAGGAAGAGAGAATCACAGGGAGAGAAAAAGAAGGAAAGAGCAAGAGAGGGACAAAGCAGGCCTTGAACCTCGAGCTCTGCTGTTGCTGGCATCTTCTCAAAGGTTTTTCTGTGAGACAAGGGGCCAGGCGAGCGGGGTCAGTCTGCCTTTAACTTCCGCCTCCAGCTCTACTGAAAGCTGCGAACCCAACACTATCACATACACAGAAATCAAGTTTTACCAAAGGTTCTTTCATCCATAAATAAGGCTAACTAGCGGTCATATCCTGTTCGGCCAAAACACGAGATCAACCCAACCCTGTAGATAACGTGAGTGGAAAAGTGCCCTTTCATTTTTGCTCTTGGAAATAACCAGAAATGAGTAGATTCATTCAGAACCTTGTAAAAGTTAATAGATACCATATCGGCTGAGGCACGCTCAGTTAGCCACTAGCCTGCCGAGTCTTAATGAGATGAATTAACCTTTAAATGTTTATCACCTCTCACCACTGAAGGGGACAGAAGAAAAGAGAGAGGGGAAGAGACCACACAGGAGGAGTGAGAAGAGGACAGAGAGGAGACATGAGGGGGTGGAGGCCGGGGCATGCAGGAAACAGAGGGCATATTCCTTCTATTGACCACACAGTGGGGGCGTGATGGGCTCTAACCAGCCAGTTTTACCACACACAAACACAGTAACTGACTCCTGTCCATGTGCTTGATACCAGCGCTGTTTGGACTGGCAGAGACACTGAATGGATCCAGCTTATTATTTCAATAAAGCAACCACAATTTGAGTGCAAGGAGTGTGTAGTTGCTTGGATGTGTGTGCGTGCAGTCCTCTCACATCACCACCCCACCCCTTCATCCAGCACTATCCATCACATTTTGCAGGTTTCTTGACAGAAGCTGGGAATTAAGTAGTTCTGTCGTAGAAATGTCTGAGAGCGTCTGGTGAATGTTTGAGTACGGTTTTCGAATTTTCAACGCCAACCAGCGCTGTGGTTGGTCTGAGAGAAGTGAGGAGAGCCGCATGTTTCAGAGTGTGATTATCCAGGTAGCCAGGGGTGGAAATAATATCCTGCTTAAATAGAAGCACTGTTATAGACTTGAGCAAGTATAAGCAAAAGTACTTTTATTAAAAACTACTCAAGTAAATGTAAAAATGTGCTATTTTGAAGTAAAAGATACTTTATATAGACCACTGTGAGAGTTAACCATTATATATATATATACAATGTAATGTATATATACTGTAGGCCACATATCAGTTGGGTGGAAGAAATACATGTTGGGGGAAATTATTCTAGTCTGCAGTCTTTTATCTTTGTTAATATCTTTATA